TTCCACCCTCGTCGCCTTGACCTACTTATTTTTCCCGCGGTTTGGCATGTGGCAAATCGATTCGTTGCAGTATTCCTCCATGACCATCTCCCCTTGGGACCTCGCCATCTCCTTGGAAATGGATGTAGGGGTGTCTATGTTCAACCCTAACCACATCAACTCACGTTTACACAACGCAACACTGGATATCTATCGCGTCCAACCCACGCATATCAGTGGGGCACACCAGGCGCCGACCTACGGAACAAGCTTCGGGGTAGCCCGAACGCATTTTCACGAAGTCCCCAGACGGGATACTTTTTATTTGGATAGCCACGTTTCTATTGTTCGTCTCCCTTTCGCTGTGCTCTGCTCCTTCATGAGAGAACTGCTCCTGAACAAGGGCGTGGTCAAAATGAGGGGGGTGGGGCAGGCCTGGATCTCGGCAGCGGCGCAAGACGTGACAGTGTTGGTCGACTGCTTCCAGCATGTGCAGCCTTTTCCGCATCCGGGTCGCATTGTGCATACTGCTTGTAATTTAAAGCTGGCTAATGGCGGGGGTATGAATGGATCACTGCTGGATTTACTCCAGCTGCAGTTGGGAACCGAGTGGGGGGAGATCCGTGGGCGCAAGAAGCAGCAGGGACACAAGGCGCGGAAGAGCGTACGTGCGAAGGAAGAGATTTGTGACGCCACCATGATTAGAGGGGTAATCGCAGAAGTACAGGCGTGCGAAGGATTGTGACCAAGGATCAGGCGGGAGCACAATTTTTGGAGGGATCATGTTTTTAATAGGGAGAACGGCTACTTGTTCATGCCATTGCATTTTCGGAATGTAACATTTTGACCGTCTTGGAAAGCAGTGGATTTTAACCATTTTTGACTGAAGTCGACAGGAATCTTTTGGGTGGGGAGGAGCCAGTTTTATATCTCTAGCCAACACTGTGTATGGCAGCCAGTATTCTACTTGGTATGCAATGTATTTTGGCTTCTTTTCAGCTAACATAGTAGAGTCCGCCGGGAAAAGCTCCAAAGAAATGTAACTGCAATCTTCTGTACGATATCGCTTCATCGAAGATGTCGCATTGAGGTCCACTGCCTTCACGTTCCTCGTGCTCACTCGCTCTTGAGCTTTCACCAGCTTTGCATCATTTCTTACTTCGCATCTGTCAAGGTCGCTCATCGAAAATACTGAGGGAAAGACACAATGACTGCTGCCATGTGTTTGCATTTGTCCCTCACTTTCAAAGCCAGTCCAATGCTGACTGGAAAATTGAAGAAATACGAAAGGAGCAGGGACCATCGAAAAGCAAATTTGTCGTTGAAAATCACAATTAAAATAGGTGAGAGATTCTTCTTCTAAGGTGCAGAGTTTCTCAAGCATGATTCTTCTTCTAAGGTGCAGAGTTTCTCAAGCATAACTGTCGTCTTCCGTAGATTCCGTTGTGAAACCAGACCCCCACGCCCTCACGCCACGCTTGCGCTACTCTGCTGTTCCCGATCCCGTCCCTCCCCCCTCCTTCCCTTGCCATGCCTTCCATCTTTTTCGCTATCAAGGACTTTAGACGGCCTCGGCCTTAGCCTTGCGTAGGCGAGCGAGTGTTGATCGCACTTGGACCGCAGCTGCAGTGGAAAGCGTGTAGGCACCGCCCGCCATGCTCTTCTTGCATGAACCGCACTTCCAGATGCCCACCACTTCCCGCTTTACGTTGTCCTTCCCGCAAAAGACGCACGTGTACTTGGAATGCTGTGATATTTCAATCTTTTTGATAATCTTTCGCAGGGAAGCTCCGTATCGCGTACCATACTTCCCGCAAATTCCTACTTTCTTAGTGCGCTTTCCCTGTTCAAATTTAATTACAGATGTGGGTGTCAATTCTTGTTAGGCCAAAAGGTCGGGAGTAGACACGTGTAGATGATAAGCAATTGTCGTCATAAATCCTGGGTGAGCTGCACTTGATTCCTCTTACACAGGATAACATGCGTTCCACGCTTCATTACGTGCCTTCTGTCGTTGTGTTTCTTACAAACGCCTCTCACAATTTTCCCACTTTTTCCCCTAGAAAACGACCAAGACAACGTACCATGGTGACTGATGACAAGTTTAAGGTCGATAGATATGACGGGTGGAAGGAAAACAAGGATGTAGCGTGTGTGGTATGCGTATGAAGAAGCGTGAGAACGACAGCACGGATGATGCCGATTCCATAAACCCACCATTGTCGCTATTCCAGCAGGACGACAGTCATGCCATCCTGCATTGCACTCAGTTCACATTTGATGCCACATGTCGTTGATCACCGTGACGACAATAAGAGAGAAAAAAGGGAAGGCCTAGCTTGCCCGTGGAGGGCGGTGCACGCGATGCTCGACAGCCGTCCGTTGCCACACAGGAAAAGGAAAATAAGGAGCGGGCCCCTGGACGACAACAGCCTCACAACCAAACTGCCACCGCCCCGTCTACCATCCTCAAAACCCGTGCTACCATTACCATGCGCGGGGTGCGGCTCGCCAGTGCTTTACCACCACACGCGAACGGGGAGGCGGCCAGGGCGGCGACGGAGGGCCCTCAGACCGTAATTACCTCCCACTTCGGCCCACCCCCATACCGCGCATCTGCGGCTCGCCGCTGGACTCGCCGCTATTTCTTGGCGCAACACGGGACCGCTGCCCTCAAGGAGGAAGAAAATCTTGCGATGGTCCAGTTCAACGACCTCCGGATGGAGTCACCGGTGTTGCGCGGGTGCGCATAGAAATGCGGATTTCCACCCCTTGCTTTCTAAACATTACTATCATCATGACCGTCGCTGGCACCCTCGCGCCTGCAAGTGACGGTTTTCTTGGTTGATGATGGCAGAAATGGATGCGTAGCACTGTGGTCTAAACAGTCTGGCTTATTCGCGAGGTGGGGACGCTCTTTAGCACTCACCATCGAAAGTGTTGATTGTCGCTTCTTTCGTGAGGGTGAGGGACGTGCACTGCTCTGCAGAGATTTACTAGATCTGCGCATGAATTGGCTCTCTGGCACGCTGGAATAATCAGTTTGCGCTCAGTCACTCTCCCGTGCAATCGACCTCGTTGTGACTCTGGCTGCGTCTCATGCGATTTTCTCTTTCCCCTCGACTCTTTTCATACACCACAGAGAAATAGAAATTATTGATGCCTTTTGCTTAGTAGCGTACATAGAGACATTTTTGCCCGGCCGTGGCTGCTCTCAGCCAGCACACCATGGTGGAGTTTCCCGGGCATGGTATGTACTCGAGGGGCGCACAGACGAATGAGAGCCCTCACCGGACCACTTCAAGCCGAAGGCGTCCGCGTCAAAGAACTGTCGCTAATGTAATGGTGAAATGGTGCTCGGTCACCGCGCTTTTCGGTGGCCTACAGCAATTATCGCGAGGAGACGCATTTCAGTCCACGTGTTCGGGATCATCTCCAGGTCTACCGCGCGTCCGCTGCAATGCCCCACGACCAGTTTTTTTGCCTCCGCTTTTCTCTTCGTTTGCGGGCAGCAGCGACGGAAGCTTCGACATGAGTTTTGATGAGTTTTTCAGAAGCGAGACAAGCAATGGGAACGCGTGCACACCCGGCACTTCGACGACCTGGCGGGACCTGGCCTCGCATCGCGCCCCCGGCACCCCCCCCCCCGTTTTCCCCGTCACCGGCAGCAGCTGGGCTCTCCTCTTTCCCCTCCCGCCTCCCCAGCTCTGGCTGAGACGACCGACGTGGCCCTGCCCTCCGACCCGCAGAGGCCGCAAGCCGCAAGGCCGCCTCTCCCGGGCCGCCTCGGCGCAGGCTTCCAGCTCGGGGACTGGCGGG